TGGATCTTGAGTAGCCTTTTCTTCAGAAATAAGGTAAATTACTCTGTGGTCTCAACTTAGTGCTCAGTGCCCAGACATGTGTCTGCACTCTAATTGGTTGGAGTTCTGCAATCTTTAATTTTGTTCAGCCTATATATTGCCTAGTAATTCTTCACTAATAATTGTCATGTGGTAGTTCCCTGTGCATGTACAGAGCATCATATTTGGACAAAAACTTAAGGGTATCCCTATGCAGATTTCTGAGCTCCTAAACTTAGTCGCCTTTCCCCATTTACACAGTCACTCAAATTCCACCTCCCTACTCCTGACATTTTTGAAATTTGATCTCTCTTCCCCGTGCCCACCAACACCACTGGGCTCTATTTCCCTGTGCTTTGATTTGAAAATGAGCTCCATGAATAATCCTGAAATAAATGAGAAGTTCATGTTTTCTTTTCTCGGGATTACTACTCTGTTCAGTCTTTTGTCGGATACCTGAAAAACAGTCACTCCATGTACTTGGTCTAATTTTATAATTGTTTTAATGAGAGAGTAAGTTCAGTACTTATATTTTTCATTATGGCCTCTGAGAGTTGTGTTCTCAATAGAGCTATTAACCAATAATCTATTTGTGAGTGGTTTATTTATTATTTTAATTTAGTGAGAGTATTGTATCTTCCTAACTACTCAGAAACAAAATTGACAATATAATTTCCAATGCCAATAAAATAAAAATGATGTTACTTCCAAATGAAAGTTAAAAGACAGTGCTCAACTTGCCATTTCTCTTCTTGTTACAACCTTGAAACTATGTGTTGAGAAGGAGCCTTCATCATCTGGCTCCCTGAATGTTTACTGTGATCAGAGCACTCTGTTGACTTATGCTGAAATGAGCATGAATAAGAAAGGAACTTTTGCTGGACTAAGCCTCAAATTTCAACAGTTGTTTTATTGCATCATAAACTAGATCATCCTTTCTGATATAAGAACTTTAATCAAAGTACACTTTCTGGTCTTTTCTCTGTTTGATGCTTCTTTTGGGAGTCAGAAATAGTGCTATTCAAAGCAAGCAATTCTAAAAATATCACGCAAATAGCAATTAGCTATAACAAATCAATAATAATATACAGTTCCCTAATACCAACAGAATGTATTAGGATCAGATTACAATAACGATATTTTATAATAGGACTTCTTAAATTATTTATCTTGAAATTTCTTCCTGTTTAGTGTTGTACTAATTTATTTATAATACTAAAGACATGTTTATTGAATGAAATTTATAAGACAATAAGGCTGACTATTATTAAGAGAAAATATGAAACGATTTGTATGTAAAATCTAAATGTTAATAAGAACACCTTGAATATTCTTACTAAAGACCATAAAAGGTATTGTAAATAAATATATTAGGAGTTACCCTATTGAGAGGTAGTGACTTTTATATATTATTGTCAAGAAAATACATGTACTATGAAGATGACTTTCAGTGTGGTCTTTAGATGATAAATTAATTGTCAAAGTAGTATATTTTTGAAAATAGAGAAGAAAATAATTATGATATCTGGCAGGGAACTTAAACTTAACTGGCACTCATGAGATTGTACTGTTATTTGGATACATCAGCAAATATACTACTACAACTAAACAAGTTGTATTACATATTATTTAGATGAAATTTGCATAAAGTATATTAGAAAAATTCAGCAATCAATTTTTTGTTTGTGTTTGATATATAACATGGATACACACCTTCTTAAGATGTTAATTGCTATTTAAAGGAAAATGCATGTTAGAAAGTGGGGGGTATGAAGAACTTATACAAAACCATTCTAATGGATGTGTCATAATTCAGCAAAAAAAAGAAAAGAAACAGAACAAGCTGACGAGTAAGAAGGAGGAGGAAATTCTGAGGAGTTAACTAGTTTTCCTTTCTTATGAGACATGTATTACAAATCAAAAGTAATAGTCTGAAATAGGAAAAAATTTAATAGGTTATTATCAAGAAATGGGTTTCAATTCCCATGTTTACCACGTTTCATAAATTATATAGTCTACTTCAGCCATTATTAATGTCTGCTGGGAAGAAGTTAGGACACTATGAATTTTTTTTATTCCAAAAATGCAGTTGTAACCAATCTTCTCATTACTTGGGTTTGTTGATTCCACTCTGATATAATAGTTCTGTCGGGTAATGTTTGTTCAGTGCATGTGGTATGCCTTTTTTTTTCTATTTTACCTTTATGAATTAAAACAGCATAAATGTCTATGTGATGTAAACAATTTTTAGAGAATGATATCTCATCCACCAATTTGGTGCCATCTACAGTTTTGAAATGCTGTAATTAATGTTTATATACTCTGTAAAAACCAGAATATTTTGCATATATGTTGTTTGATTGGGACTCTTACACAAAATAATAGATCAAGATACTCACTTTCACTTCTCTTAATGGTCAATTATTCCCATGGTCAATACAAGTGGGATAAAGAGACAGATTTTACCTGATTCTCTCAAAGTTCATAGAGGCCAGGCCCAGGAAAAAAAATACCATAGTAATTTATGAAATGATTGGCTAAGTAGTTTATAAGTATTCTTATTCTTCTTTTATTATTATTATTCACCAAAAAACCCCCCACAAGAATACTAATGTAAAGGATTATATTTATGTCATTAATGCCAGGTTTTAAAAATCTAAATAGAATCTGGTTTACCCACTACAAAAGGCTATAAGAGAATTTGCCTCAGTATATGATAGTACCCCTCCTAACAGCATCATTTCAGAAATCCTATAATGTGTGTGTGTGTGTGTGTGTGTGTATGTGTATTAGACACTAATAATTTTTTGGAGCAATGCAGTGATTTTTATTTAAGAGAAAGAGGGAATGAATGACTGCATAGAAACATAAAGAAGAAAAAATAAATAAAGAGTAAAAAAAATACAACCAAAAGAAAACTAAATCAAAATTTATGCACTATTCAACATGAGTATGGTGAATAAATAATTTATTGATTCATATAATTGGAAAGTCAAGGGATGGATTAGTTTGTCTCTGACTGTATCCAGTTATTTAAGCAATTATTCAAGATTGTCTGTCTATTCTCTTCTCGTTCTGTGCCTTTCTTGAGAAGTGAATGAGTTTTCAGGCAGATTTTTTCCACATGGGAGCTAGAGTTAAAAGCTTCAATTTATGTCATGGTCAGTGCCTGTGATCTGAAAAGAAGAATGTGCCTCTTTCAAAACTTAGTACAAAAATCAGAATAGTGTTTGAGTCACATGCTTATGCATGAATTAATTGCTTTGGTCCGAGAGAATAATACCACTTCTAGAGGGAGTCAGTGTCACTTGCCCCCATGGACAGACTGTGAGGAGTCTATTGTTGGTAAGATTGCAGAACAGTGGTGTATAAAAGATGTTTATTTCAACAGTAATCAGGGAATTGTAAATTTAAACCATAGTGGCACATCTCTTACACAGTCAGATTGGCAAAAATTATGAAGTCTGATAACACTGAGTGTTTGCAAAGATGCAGAGCTATAGAAAGTCTCATACTCTCTGGTAGGAATATAAATTGATAAAACCATTTGGAAAGCAACTTTTTAGTATCTACTAAATTTGAAGTACATTTTCTACTATCTCACACCTAAGTGTAAGCCCTAGAAAATTCTTGCCCAAGTATAACAGGAATCTTGTACAAAAACATTTACAGCATCATTGTTACTGATTCTGATATCCCAGAAACAATCTAAAAGATTATTAGTGGAAAACGGCTCACTGACTTGTGGTATATCGATATGATAAAATAAAATGGTGGAGATTAATAAGCCAGAGTTTTATGTATTGAAATAGATGGATCTAACAAATTTAATATTGTGTGACAAAAAAACCAATTCACCAAAAAATACAAGTAATAAAAAGGGGGGTATGTGTGTATCCATATAAGTCAAAACATGCCAAACTGAAAAAAAATGTTTTAAGGATACATACATAAGTAAGTAGTAAAGTTATAAAATGGGAATGATAAAAACTCATTTCAAGATAAGGTTGACATTTGGAGCTCCCCTGAGGGCGAAGGGACATGTGATTAGAAAAGATTACACTGAAGGTTTCATCTGTGTTGGTGATAATAACTATGTATTTGTATAGGTGGTTGGTAACACTATATAATCTTTATATGTGCAAGTTTTTCATAAGTTTCACAACAGGATGAGGGAGACCAATAGTATGAGATCATAAGGATAGTATAGATGGGTGTGGGAGTGATAAATAAGGAAGAGAAGTACAATTGATGGAAAGAAGTAGAATTCACTTCAGTTTAAAAAACTTTTATTGAAGAATTATTTCTCATTGGTCTAGACGTGGGATGAAAACCTCAAATAGGGATACAAACTCAGAGTTACATTGTCCATTGAGAATAGAGTTCCTGTAGCTGCCTTACTTGCTGGAAGAAGAATGGCTTCTCCTCTTTTAAAGCAGAAGATAGTTCCTGCGTGTGTGTGTGTTTGTGCATGCGTGCATGCACACAGTCATGTTGGGAGGATGGAGTAAAATTGATCTCTGGCAGGAGCCTATGGAAATTACAAATTTCAGACAGGCCTCCCAGCCTGGCCCTGGTGATGTCTCCCTCATTCTGCTTCTCCTCCTCTCCCTGAGTACACTCAGAGTACATGTGACATGTGAGTTTTAATGACACACGTGGTGTCAAAAAAAAATAAAGTACAGTGCTTATTTATATCTATATTTCATGAAAAAACTTCTATTTTTGTTTCAAACTTTGTTTTGTTTTTGGCCCATGATAATCCTAAATCAGTAATTTCAGAACACTGAATTTAGTTGAGTATATTTAATTTTGTTTTTGTTTTTATTATTGGAATTTCTAATCATTTAATAATACTCTTTTATAAGACCTAGGAAGTACTGATGTAACCAAACCCAGGTTCGGCTGCCTGCTGCAATGAAAGCCAAATTCTTGAGACAGTTGCTTCTGAGAAGCAAAAAGGTTTATTCAAGTGCCAGAAACCAAAGAAGAAGGAGGACTCTTGTCCCAAAGCACACCTTAACATCTCAGTGCAGGCAGAGGATTTTATAAAGAAGGAGAGGGAAAGCAGAACAAAGAGATCAAAGGGAGGGGCTGTGGGCATGCAGCTACGATCCTTGCTGGTCCTGATATGGATTCTCATGGTCAGCATTCCTGAGTTGGCCATCTCGCTTTTTTGTTGGTGAATTCCTTTGCCTGGGCAGCTGGCATTAGCCAGGGCCTTGAAGTCAGGCTGCTCCTTAGGTTCACACAGGAACTTAAACTGCTGAACTGTAAAGCATACTACAGGAACTTAAACTGCTGAACTGTAAAGCATACTAAAAAAAAAAACAAAAACAAAAAAACACTTTTAACATGCAAGCTCTAGTTTTGAGAGAAAAATCAGGTTATACTAACAAGCTAGGTATAACATTTACTAATATTAATATGGCTAGCTTTATATATGTATAGTGTATTCATTCTCCGTTATGCTGACAAACATATGAAATTGGAATTATATAGAGAAAAAAATTCATCGTGATATGCTTGAGGAAAACACACTAGAGATAACCAGACATGTTTGTTTTGATCTTTGCCTTGTTTTCTTTAGATCAGTACCAAATTGCACCAAAGGACCCCATGAAAATATATTGTTTTAGCCCCTTTGAAGATTTTTATTGGAGAAAAATTTCCAATTCATGTGGTTGATTGATTTAATGTAGAAAATGCAAAGACAGTATGTAAATTATGAGAGCCACTCTAGTTACATCAAAACATGCCTTTGGCTACTGATTATGACTATAAGAAATTTTAATGTTTTAAAAAGGCAATGGAACAGTCTCCATGGGGAACGAGAAATTAGTTTACTTGTTATTTTGGTTTGTTTGTTTTGTTGTTGTTGTTTTGAAGAATATATAGAATATTAAATGAACTAGAGAAATATTTGGATATGGATTGAACTCTTCAATTCTTGTATGGAATTTGTTATTTTGCTTCCATAGTTTCTCTCTTTTCCCTACCAATTCTCATGTCTTCTATCCCTGACTGCACTTTTTGATTTTGAATTTGCTGGAATAAATTTCCTCAGAGATATACCTAAGGAAACATTTAGCTTTGGTGCTTTAGTTAGCAAGTTGGTGTTTAAGATAACTAATAAAATATAGAACTGCCAGAATAATCTCATCTTTGATGATCTATTTAAGAAAACAGAACTCCTGCCCTGGCCAGTTTGGCTCAGCGGTTAGAGCGTTGGCCTGCGGTTCGGAGAGACCCGGGTTCGGTTCCCGCTAAGGGCACGTACCTCGGTTGCAGTTTGTCCCCGACCCTGGTTGGTCGTGCGGGTGGCGGCCACTCGATGTGTCCCTTTCACATCGATGTTTCCCTCTCTCTCTCTTCCTCTCTCTCCCTCCCACTCTGTCTGTACAAAAAATGGAAAGATGTCCTCGGGTGAGGATAAAAAAAAAAAAAAAAAAAAGAAAACAGAACTCCTTACCCAGAGTCATCAGGCACGTTGCTCTGTAGCAACACTGGAGGCCTCACTGACTGACATATAGTTGAACTAGATCTTACCTCCCCCTGTATGACGGGATCCTAAGTTGACCTAGCCCAGAGAATATGTGATGCTAGGAACCTGCAAAACAGAATAAGACAACATAGAGTATGTTCAGGTATAGTAAATTTAGTTTCATATAGACAAATAGACTAAATTTAAACATATTCACAACAATGCAATATATTTACTTTTTTCCGTTTACAGAAAAGAAAAGCAATGTACAGAACCACACTATACTCACAATTATTTTCTAATTTAAAATGTTTATTTACTATCAATGCATTGTTAATTGCTTTCAGTTTTGCCTTCTGTAATTACACTAATGTGTTGAATAAAGTGTAGTCTACAGTAATAACTTATATATACATTTTTAATTGGATGATTCTGCATGCATTTATTTATGACCTAGATTCATCTCTTCTATTCCAAGTACATTTTCTTATTTGCTTTGCTTATTTAAATTTAATGAATTTAGATTTCAATTCACCTTGCCATATCCAGACACTTCACTTACATTTCTAATAGTGTATTACACATCATGTAGTATTTGTATGTTAATAAAATATCTTACATAATTAAATTAAATACTATGCCAAGAAAACTTTTTCTAGTGTGCATATATATTGTTTGTGTATGTATGTGTGTGTAGTGTGTAGTAATCTATTACACTTCAGTACCATTAAAGTCAGTGATATATTGTGCTTATCAATTCACCCAATAATTAAGTATATGTGAAGGAAGCAACATTGTGTATATATATATAAAGATTTTATGTATATAAGAGCTGTTATATCTTTCAGGCAGTTCAGATTTAATGTACGCCTGAATTCCTTGAAGAGATTATAACATAGAGGCCTCAAATTTCAGAATTCACACTTATCACCACACCACCCTCAGTTTTTTGTGTGTTTTTTTTTATCATCACTCAGTTATATTACTACGTTTGAAGATTAAAAGAACAATACAGCAGGGTTAGACCATAATTAGAAGAAAACATGCTCAACTGAATGCAGGCTGCTGCAATAGCTTTTGCAAGGCCAACTTCAATGACTGTTACAAAGATAACAGGTCTTCCATGGTTTGTCCAATACTGTCATTAAATTCCATAGAGGAAGTTCTGAAAAAGAACTGATTTTAAAATATCATTTATGCTGTTTGAAACACGACAGCCCTAGAAGTTAATGCCAGTTTTACTTAACATTGTCCCGGCAGCTTTTCCAATTTTCTGTGTTGGCCTGAAAACAGGTGTGTAATTACAGAATATAAGAAAAATATTCATCTTATTTTCAGAGGATTATCCCACATGCTATCAGGGTATGAAATGAACTTTTTTCTCTTGTTAAGCGCTCCTCCAAAGCTATGATGATGGTAAAATGTAAGTTACTGAAGCCAGTGGGCTGAGATTGGGATTAGGGCGGAGGTGAGGACCAAGGAGAGAGAAAGTTTAAATCTATAATTCAATCTCCTAATATTCTTCTACTAAGTGCCCACTAGAACCCAGACACAATTTTAAATTTGGAGAATATTTTGGATTCAAAGATGACCTCATGTTTTGAATTCCAGGGGCTCATCTATTTGACAAGTAACAGCAGTACATTTTCTTAGCTCAGGCTGCTATGACAAAATATCACAGGCTGGGTGGCTTAAACAACAAAAAAGTATTTCTCACAGTTCTGGAGGCTGGGAACTATGACATCAAGGTGCCAACAGAACCAGCGTGCGGTGAGAGGCGCCTGACTGGCCCACAGACAACCAACTCGTCATTGTGTCCTCACTGGGTGCACTGCAGAGAGACAGCGAGCACGCGTACTGAGGTCCTTACTGAGGCCTCTCATCTCACTCACAAGGGCTCCGCCCTCGTGCCCAAATTTCCTACCAAACGCCCAACCTCCCAACATCATCACACTGGGGGTTAAATTTTTAACGTATGAATTTTGGGTAGACACAAACATTACGTCTATAGCACATGCTAAAATAAGCGAAAAGCGGTATGCAGAGTGTTGTATGCCTAGGTTCCCAACCGGGCTGGGTCGTGCCCTGCAAGAGTTTCTGATGTGGGTATTTAGCAGAGGAGGTATGCTACAGATATGAACAGAGGGAAGGATATGGACCCATATGTGAAAACAAATAAATGTGATGGAAATAATAATTCCTCACCCCCTGACCTGTTTGATCTTCTTGCTGGAGCCCTCCAAACTCTCAAATTGTGTTTTGCAAATATGGGAGCTGGCTTTGTAATTCGTGAGTGGATTTCAATTCTATGCTGTAATTACATTTATTTAATATTATATTTTAACACATCAAGAAAATTATTGATTAGAAGACACCTTGTGGAGCACTAAAATACAAATATATGCATATATGTATATATTTGCAAGATTATAAAAAGGATTCACATTCAGTGATACTAAAGGGTGAACAAATGTCAATATTAGACTCTACGAAATGTAGAGTAATGGTTCACAACTGAATAATTAGAAGTACCTTGTGATGTGGCAGAGTGTGGGCACTTCTGTGTTTAGAGAGAAAACATGAGAGTCATTCAGTCCACAAGTATTTGTTGAGCATACAGAAGATGCCAGGTATAATGCCCCATCTTCAGGCTACAACCAATAACCAAGCAGACATCATCTCTCCTTCTATATATACAGAGTTTCGAACTGGCTAAACCCACAAACATGTTTAGGACTATGTCACACATTTAGATGTCAAATGTACACCCAACCATCCTAGCCCAGCAGTATTCTACCAAATTAGACAGCCTACTGAAAAAGATAACAATTGAAAATGTTCATTCAGGTGTAAGACATACTGCAGAGATAAACTAAATAATATATGTATTTCTTTATCTTTCTAAAAAAAAATACATATCAATGGTTTCCTGCACACGAGTTTCATGTTAAACCTTTCCTCTGACCGCAGGAGCTGATGCTGTGGAAGCTCAGTGTAAAAGATTTGAAGTGAGAGCGAGTGAAGATGGCAGGGTGCTGTTTTCTGCAGATGAAGATGAGATTACCATTGGGGCTGAAAAGCTGAAAGTTACAGGTACTGTAGATTGAGGTCTTGGAACACTGTTTACTTCTTGAAAGAACATATAACAGGAAAAAAAGCTACTTTATAAGATGTGTGATCCCCATTCCCAAAATTGAGTTTCACAACGTTTGATTTTCCAAAAGTCTTCCAATAAAAAACACTGGTTGTGGATGCTGACATGAATGTAAACATGAGCCTTGACGTGCCGGTGAAGCTGAGAGTCTCAGGGAGGGCGGGGAGGAGAGTGGGTGTGAGTCAGGGAAGAGAAAGGGTAGGTCAGACACTACGCAAAGCTGTCTGTCAGTGATAGACAAATGCAATTTGGAGATAGTATTTAAAAGTAAAAGATATGCAAAAGAAGGACTAAAATGTAAATATCAACTTTAAAGTGAATTAGGGGAAAAATTATAATATAAGTAAACTAAATCATTGTTCTTTGGGGCTCATAATTATCTTAAAAACTATGTAAATCAAAAATAGTGCTGATCACATATTTAGAAGTTGTTAAAGTCATTATTTTAATATTAGGGTCATAAGTCAATCAACAACTGGAACTGAAAAGCAAGAACAAAAACAAAACAGAAAGTTAAAGGGACAATTGGGAGTGGTGAAGAATTTTTAAAGACAATTTTAAGCACAATTTCTATTGAACTACTTGATTCATAGCAATAATACCTATTTTATTTAAATATTTTTAAAATAGTCAAAGAGGTTTACCTTATTTTTTTTTTTTTTAAAGTATGTTTAACTTAGTGTTTCCAAAATCTGAGTTTGGGAACAGCTCATGGCATATCTGTCATACCTGGTTAGGTCCAAATGAGTTCTCTGGGCCATGTGAGGGTAGTTAATATGGTACTTGGCCTCTGCTCTCCATGGCTTTTTGGGTGGAATCCTACCTCTACTATTCAATATTTTAAATAAATTCTCTATGCCTTCAATTTTCTTTCATCTAAATGACAATGATAAATTTAGTGTCCAATTAATTTTGTGTGTGTGTACACACCCATATGCCTACATGACATATGCATGTTTAGGTTTTCGGCACATAATGAAGACATTGTAAAGGTTAGCTTCTTATTCTTATCAATAAAGATAAACATAATGCTGTCAATGTCGCATACATGATTGCCTGAGTGGATTTCAAGAAAGATGTACTATTAAATAGCAGTGAAATTCAACAAGGGTTGTTGAATGGGGATCCTCATTGGGTACCCCTGGGTTTAGTGACACCCCACTGTCAGCATCCCTACTGACCCCCATATCCTCCTATGCCTTGTAAGAGTGTCCGACTGACTAGCTGGAGCCTGTAACATCGGGTTGGTGTTTGGGGTTGGCCACCATGACTATCCATCTGCCTCGTTTCTCTTTTTTTCTTAAAGCTCTTTGGAAAGGTCAGGAAAGGAAGGATGCATGTGAAGCAAAAATGGACCAAATTGACCTTTCTAAGTCCTGAGATGCAGGGAAAGGAGGCTGAAAAAGGCGTGAGGATTGTGGTTGGCATAGAGCCACAGACAGATGAGGAAGGACATTGACTTTAGGGCCCTTGGTGCTACATTTGGGTTGCTGGTGGTGGAAAAGTGGGGGATGTGGATAGAAATGCACTCAGGAGATTGTGAACATATGATTTCAGTATTTAGCCATCTTTAATCTTGGTAGTGCCTACTGTTACCGGCTTTGATACCAACACAAATCTGAGATACCATTTAGGATATTACACAATTACCCAAAAAGTATTTGATCACTATTCAGATAGTCTCATGAGGTACTTAGTATTCATTAGTGCAGGGGAGTTCTAGAGCTCTTGACAACTTTTAGCATTCATGGAATTTTAACTTCTCCTGACCTTTAGAGTACCTTGATTTGTCTCATAACAATCGCAGTGATGGGCTGTCTTCACAAAATTAGACACGTTAACTCGTTTCTTTAATTTTTTCTTTGAACTAGGTGGATTCTCAACTTTATTTTCCTCTTTATTTTGGTACCCTTGGACTGTACTTTGGGCTATTAAATCAGAGAAGAATGTGCTCCCTGAAAAACCTAAGTGTTTCTGCTTTTCAATTAACTGCCTTGAGACAGTCATCTCTGCTACCTCGTTCATTTTTCTGTCTCCCTCTCTGTGTATATGTGAAGGTGTGAGTGACACATGCAGAGTATATGTGTATATGTGTATTTATAGATGGACAAATATGTTTATGTTACACTGGTTCTCTTTTTCTATTTCATTCTCCATCTCAAAAATATATACTTGAGTTTATTCTTCATATACACTTGACTGATCTATATGCTCCAATTATCTCAGAAAATTAATCTGTTTTACAATAGATTTATGTAACATATGATTCCAGAAGATTCTAAATATTAAAATAATATACAGGTAGTTCTGAGTCCATAATTGCTGGGTCCAACGTATTTTTGTAAGGAGTTGAAGCGTAGCACTTCGGATCAAAGAATGCAAGTGCCTGAGGCACAGAGCCCTGGCTTTGCCCAGAGGGGGTATTCTCGGCTCCACATTGTGGGCAAGTGCCTGCTCAATTAGGGAGTGCTTGAACTGATTCGAATCCCCGCAGTATCCAGTCACATTTCTGTTCTCACGTTACACGCATGCATACATACACATGCGCTCTCAAATTCCTGCTAGGTCCTTCCTCCTTTACCAGAATGTTGCATACTAACTTCATAGTTGCTCTGTTCTTCCCTGTGCTACATCTAAAATGAAGAAAAACAAAGATGTCAAAGGCAAATATAAATTAGAATATTGCATGCTTAGAGGAGAAACCTGTGCATAATGTAGCACGCAATTTAGGAGAACAGGAATTGACTGGTATCCCCACGTACACTTTAAAGCAGTGCTTGAATCCTTTGATACGTAACACTGCAAAGAAATACTGACTCCAGGGTGCTTCATGTAATTAGTTAGCTGTGCTGACAAGACTTCAAAGTTGCATGCAACAAGAGATCTGTGTGAAGTTTATCCTAGAATTTAAAAATGTTCTATTTAAAGTAGATCCATAGGAGTTGCCCTGGCTGGTTTGGCTCAGCGGTCAGAGTGTCGGCCTGTGGTCCACAGAGACCCGGGTTCGGTTCCCGCTAAGGGCACGTACCTCAGTTGCAGTTTGTCCCCAGCCCTGGTTGGGTCATGCGGGTGGCAGCCACTCGATGTGTCCCTTCACGTTGATGTTTCTCTCTCTCTCTCTCTCCCTCCCACTCTATCTGAACAAAAAATGTAAAATGTCCTCGGGTGAGATAAAATAAAATAAAACAAAATGAAGTAAAATAAAATAATAAAATAAAATGAATTCTTCCTATCTTTATACTTGATGAACAATAGCGTTTTGTGCGGGGCTTCCCTCTGAGGCCACAGAAGTGGATGCATTTATTTAGAGCGTGTCTGTGCACCTGAGGCTAAATCACCGATGACTGCAATCATCCATTTATCTAGTATCTGGTATCCGTTTATCCACTCAGGATGTTTACATTTACCTTACCTACAAAGTAGCAGAGATTTACCTGCTGCACTGCTAGTGTTCAGGAGGATAGCAGTAAAATGGCAAATGGTTACCTGGACACCACCAACCCGCCATCCCCCCTCATCATGATGAACAACCACATGCATAAAATTTATAATTTTCTACTCCTCATATTACTCGCTTGATCAGCAATAGTTTTCTTTTTTTTTTTTTTTTTTTTATTATTTTTTATCCTCACCCGAGGACATTTTTCCATTTTTTGTTCAGGTAGAGTGGGAGGGAGAGAGAGAGAGAAACATCGATGTGAAAGGAACACATCGAGTGGCTGCCACCCGCACGACCAACCAGGGCCGGGGACAAACTGCAACCGAAGTACGTGCCCTTAGCGGGAACCGAACCCGGGTCTCTCAGGACCGCAGGCCGACGCTCTAACCGCTGAGCCAAACCGGCCAGGGCAGCAATAGTTTTCTTAAATCTAAATTTGAATACACTTATTTCACCTTAACACGCCCTCTCTGTATTGTTAGATGTACTGGAGTTTTACATGTTAACTCACACATACACACTTGAAAACTTTATCTGCATTTTGTGCCCCTTAATATCGGCCAATGATATCACTTAGTGCAATTATCTTTTGAGAGCAGATAAACAAATAAAAGATAGAAACCTTAACAACCTAGAAGACTCTTAAATTTAGTGCTTTCAGGCAGAATCTGTCAACTCCCATTTGTGCTGTTATTGACAGTCCACAGAGTGTGTTCACTTCGAGACAACGTGCGTGTGTAAGTCCTCTGACTTTATAAAATGATAGGCTTTTGCCCTATACAAACTTAATTTCAATTAAAAATGTTCAATTAAAGACTGTTAGTTGGACTTAGACCTCTCTTTTTTGCCTTTGAGAGAAAAGGATAAAAGAGCTAAATGTATTGTGAGAAAGGATATCTCTTTCTTTGTCAGAGTAGAAATTAAAATTGGCAATCCAGAAGAATAATGAATCCCAGCCATGCATCCACCCTGTGCCCTTGTGTTGACTTAAAAACCAGGAGTATCACTCTTTGTCTCTGCTCTAGCTGAGTGATTGGAAAGACAGACATGTTCTAATGCTTGTTTGACAGCAGAAGAAAGGATTTTCGGAAGAGCTGTCTTTTAAATTAAACACCATGTTTCTGGGTTGAAATCAATATTTTCTGGTTTGTTTTTATTAGTCTTCTGTATCTTTGTTCTTGTCTGTTAAATTTGCACACTGCAAAGGGGTCAGCTCTGAAGTCAAGTGTTCTGTTATGCAGGACCAGTGTTCCTACCACCATCCAAAGGCCAAGAATGTTGTAACACTCAGCCGATGGGTGGAGGACTCCTTGGTCCAAAAAGCACCTGAAGCAACGTGATCAGTTCAGATGCCAAGGAAAGGGCTGTACAATCCTTCATTTGCTCCGATGAGGCATTTCAAGGTCATGGACTAGGGTAGATCACTCAGCTAAGTTTCTAGTTGCTTTCTAAACTTACTGAGGATGAAGATTTTGGAGACACTAATGATTATTACTACTC